CGAGAGAAATCAAGAGAAGTACTAGAAGCGAATGACGTCGGAAATGAACATAATTCACTTCTATGGCGCGTACTGGCCCTTTTAGGATAGCCCAGGGCTCGCTCCAGTTTGAGAGTGTCTGTATAAACTGGATAAAGGGTTTTTATCTTGAATTGGGGAAACATGGGTATTTGCCGGCCTTGTTACGTTCCCCGCCTAGTGTGCCCGTCTCCAACCTTTGGCTCCACAGCTCGGGATCCCTGTTTCATTGGACCTCTAGGGTGTCGATCAGTTTGTCAAATGTATTGGAGATACTGACGCAGTTGCTTCCTCTGGTTTCGTGCGGTTCATACTAGTCTTGAAAGACCAACACTATCGGAAACGTGGAATATAGGGAATAAAGCCAAGTATTTCCCTTCGGATAACAAGAAAGTCCGAGGGTCATGTTTCCATCAATGAGTGCGACGGATATCCAAGGCGGAGCGGGTGGAGGTTTCTGGGAACGCTCCGGTGGACCAGGCAAAAGATACTCCGAAGACCCGGAAAGTTGGGATAAATTGATCCTTGGCGATCCGGCGACCTGATTCGGCAACGAATGATCTGCTTACCTTCTTTATTTGATTTGCCGCCACGCAAGGTTTAAGCCGTGAACTGGACTTTTTGGCTATATTCGCTACCCATTTTGTGCCCAGTTGCAACGCACACTTCCGCGACGGCCCCTCAAACGCGTAGGTTGCCGAAGCTTCCCCCTATTCTGCTTTTCTAACGGCGGATTGGAAAGATGGAGCGTGGAGAAAGGTTGACAAGTTGGAAAAGGGAAAATAGCCAGACCAGGTCGGTGTTCGACAAGACCGACCCTACATCGCCGTCGTATCCACTCGCCCGCGGTGGTTATTTGATTTTTGGGGATACGCTTAGTAACGGAATGAGTTTTCTCCTGCCCGGATCGTGAAGTCATAGCCAAGTGAAACGGATTAGGAAATAGTGCCCGGCTGAACAAAGTTGCAAAGAATGCAAGGCTATATATAGGAAGAGACCCCGCCCCCAGAAATCCAAGACAAGTGCCGGACCTCAGACCAAACAAGCTTTTCGCAGTCGACATCACCGTCTGTAAAGAAATCGAGACATCATGGTTTCCGCCAAGCTATTCTCCCTCGCGGCCCTGGCGGGTGCAGCAGCAGCCCAGGAAACGCTCCGATTCATGCCCTTTGGCGACTCCATCACGGAGATCATCTGCTGGCGCGCACTGCTATGGGAGAAGCTACAGAGCACCGAGTTCGCCTCGGTGGACTGGGTTGGATCCGGCCAGGTGGATAACAACTGCGGTGATGGGAACTACGATCGTGACCATGAAGGTCACTCGGGGTTCCTGGCTGTGGATATTGCCAACAACAACCAGCTCGCTGGCTGGCTGCAGCAGAACCCGGCCGATGTCATCACGATGCATCTAGGCACCAACGATATCATGCAGCAGAACAAGGGACCCGATGAGATTCTGGGTGCGTTTACGACGCTGGTTGGAAATATGCGAGATAGCAACCCGAACATGAAGATTATTGTGAGTTAATCTCCTGAAACTAATAAAGCAAAGGGAAGCGACTAATGTGGTTCTTTTAGGTCGCACAAATCATCCCGGCCGGTTTCGGAAACTACAACTCTGTGATCGAGTCTCTCAACAGCGCCATCGTACCCTGGGCCCAGGGCCTCAACAGCACGGAATCGCCCATCTACGTCGTCGACCAGTACAGCGGCTTGACCTCGGGCGACCTGCGCGACGGAGTCCACCCCAACCAGTCGGGTGACCAGAAGATGGCCGACGTCTGGTACCCCGCCGTCATCACCGCTCTCACGGCTGCCCAGGCGGATAAGCAAGCTGCTGCTGCCAAGGTCGAGGTGCCTTTTACTGCTTAAAATGTCGATTTTTGAGGTGTTTGTGCTTGGGAATTAGGTCGGGTGGTTTGGCGTAAACGATTCATTTGGATATTTTGATTGCCATCTATCAATCCATATATGCCCGCTTTTGCGAAACATGTCATGAGCTACCTATGGAACTGTGATAGGACGTTAATCCATGACAAGGGGGGAAAGGAAGTAAATTATTGTGCTCTTCGTGGTGAAATGCGTCGTGTTATCCAGTAGATGCGAGGATGTTGGCAGTCTGGCTACTTCGGCCAGTTGCTAGTCAACTCTGTCAGACGCCTAGGATTTACCGTACTTTGATGCCGGCTAAGGGGTAAGCGAAAAGTGCTTGCGCGGGGTGACAGTATGAGACGATATACTATCTCTATAAAGGCCCAGGCTAACGAAAGGATGAGGTTATACCAAGTATCGGTCAGGTCTTATACCGAAGTATTTTTGGCGCGACTATGATGACTCTCCGGAATGAATGATAGACAACGGAAACGGAACATGCTCATATCATAAGCAGCAAATGGGGGGGGTTGTTCGTTACATATGAGTATACATATATATGCGCCTAAAGAATCATCAGGAGCAAACTACAATCTATCCCGGTGAATCTTTTTTATTTTTTAACTTTATCTATTTTTATTAAAGCGAGATTGATCAACTTGATCATCATTGAGACTAAGATACGGGTTGATCCGGATTTACCTAACCTAGCGAACCCAAGCCACTGGAATAGGTCGGTTAAAAAGAATAAGTAGTTATGATGTGCAAGCAAGGGGCAAGCCACAATGAACAAAACAACCCCAGTCTAGCCACATTCTGATATTTGTCGATCACCACCTAAGCTGGCCTCGGCGTCTGACATGCCGAAGATTGGCTTGGACCTGCATATCAAATGATTAAACTGCCGACGCGTGTGTGTGGGTGTGTGTCTTTTTTTTCTATCTAGTACGTAATTGAAGGTTAAATACTTGTTGTCTATCTATTTTATTGTAAGTGTATTGGCGTCAGCAATGTTTTATTTATGGATGCTTTATTTAATAATATTACGATATAAATATATATCATGGGATTCTGGATTCTGGATTCGGGTCAGGGTCAGGGTCAGGCCTCTCTGGGCTCAACGGAAGATGATATGTTTCCGGCCATCCCCCCAAGTTACAACGTTCTAACGGGTAGGGTATAGTATATATGTAGATCATGGGTTGGAATAGGAAGGAAAGGATGTCAATCTTGAGATATAGGGCCGGTTCAATTTAAGAGGTGAGTAGTCGTATGTGATATACCCGTTGTTCCGTAAAGTAGGTACGAGGAGAAGAAAAGGCCTTGGTTTGATGGGATGGGTTTCTTTGTATGCTGTCATGTAGGTAATAAGTTGGGTGATGTATATACGAGTATAATAAGATGGGTTTTGGGTGAGTGAGGTTTTATATGACCGGGTTTTCAGGGTATGGGTATGGGTTAAGTACTTTATGTATACAGAGGTGACATTTCCCGTCCGCTCACTTGTTTTATCTTTTTGAAGTTTTTTTTGTAAAAACGTTTCTTTGATATCCTGGGGATCTGACCAAACCTAGGAAATCGCGTACTTTGTTTTCTTCCACCTTGGGATTTCTTGCAACTACCTTGCCTTACCTACCTAGCCCACTGCCTGGTAGGTTAGTTACCTCGGTGATCGACATTCTACCTTGGGTAGTTCGGTATCAGCCGATCTCAACACATCAAGGCCCAGTGTCGTGTCAGTACTAGTAGGGTTCCAAAACAACAACACAACAAAATGCGAACGCACTTCCCCGCCGCCCTAGGGGCCATCGTCGCCACCCACGTCTCGGCCCACAGCTTCGTAACAAACATCAACATCAACAACGAGCTATACAACGGCTACCACCCCACGACGCCCGACACCGACCCCGGCACGATAATCGGCTGGTCAACAACGGCCTTCGACCAAGGCTACGTCAACCAGACAGGCTACACGACCGAGGAGATAATATGTCATCGCGACGCCCTCAACGCCCACGCCCACGCTAGAGTCTCGGCCGGGGAAAATATCCATATTCAATGGAACGGATGGCCGAATTCACATAAGGGACCCGTGGTGGATTATCTCGCTTCTTGCGGAACGGGAACGGGAAAAACCTGTGAGGACGTCGATAAGAACGATCTCGAATTCTTCAAAATCGGCGAATTGGGTCTTATCGATGGAGCGGATGAATCTACCGGTCCGGGAGGCGTCTGGGCGACGGATTTGTTGATTGCGAATAATAATTCGTGGGTCGTCGAGATCCCGTCTAATATCCGGCCGGGGTATTATGTCTTGCGCACGGAGATCATCTCGTTGCATAACGCGAGTAATGTCACGGGCGCGCAGAATTATCCCCAATGCGTCAACCTGTGGATCACGGGGGACGGGACGGAGGTTTATGAGGGAGTCAAGGGGAAAGAGCTGTATAGTCCGGATGAACCGAGTGTGTTTTTGGATATTTATGCGGGCGTTTTGGAAGAGTATGATATCCCCGGTCCAAAGGTGATTGGAGGGGGGAATACGGATGTTCCCGAGTTGAGTCATCCGGTGCCTACGGAGGGGGGTCCGGTTTATACCGGGACCGAGACTACGCCTGTTGCTACGGATGGGGTGAGGGCTACGGGCACGGTGGGAAGGGGGAGGAGTAGGTTTACGTCTGTGCCTAGGGCCTCGAGACGGTAGAGGGGAGAAGTGGGATATTTAAGAGGGTGTCTGTTTTGTGCGGTTTGGATGGGGTGCATGTGGAGTGGTGTAAGCTTTTCTTGAGAGGGGTGTATGGTGATTGGATATTATGGCGGATCTATTTGTATATAACATCCGCAGGAGTGAATCAAGTATATATTGCCACTCATCTGGCCGGGTTTGCCAGATAATGAAAAAAAGTATGTAGGATGCGCTCGTATGATGGCAGCGGACATTCCTGATATTGTATTGCGGTGATGCCGTGCAAACGCACAAGGTGTAAAAATGCCATGAAGACGACAAACTGGTATGAAAACGCCAAAAAAGATATACATACCACCGCTCAAACAGAGAGAAGATGGTTCGATCAAGAAGACAACCAGAAAAATAGAAAAAAGAATGTATTCTCTCGATCGGGGAATCGAACCCCGGCCACCTGCGCACTGCCGAACGACGAGCGAACGCTCGTCCATGACAAGCAGGTATCCTGACCACTAGACCAATCAAGATTGAATTGTGCTAATATTCTTCACATTAAGGTCTATACTGTAATGGAAAGGTTGTTTGAATAAGTAAGTGCACTTTACTGGGTCATAGGAACATTTGTCATTTGCCGTCGTTTGGGGACCCAGTTTGAGACATGACTCGGGTATAATGTGTTTTCCCTCAAGAGGTGCAGAGGCTGTAGGTAGAGCCTTAGAGGGGCGGATTTGGAAAGATGACCACTCACATACCTACTTCATCCTAACAACTGTCCAACTGTCTGGTAAGCGGGTAGATTCATCAGTTGATCAATAAATTTCTTCCTACTTGTTGCGACGTTCTCGTTTCCGGGGGTTTTTTTTTGAGTTGGTTTCTCAGCAGGATATTACGGAATGCTTTTCTCGTGTGGCCACTAGATAGCCGCGAAGCTCATTCGGTGCTGTGGCGAAGCAGTCCGTGGGAAGAAGGATCCCGCTGATGAATTGAGATCATGCTCGTCAACCATCCAATATCGGACTTTAGCATCGTTGACTGACCATGTTTCCTGCACGCGCGCCTTGACGTGCGGGTACTAGTATCGGTATGTAGCTAAAGTACCTCGGTAGGAAAGTGACGGATTGAATCAAATACCTAAAGTACCTATACCGAGTGTCGGTACGAATGAATCTTTCTGCATCGCCTTCTTCACTGCTGAAACATGAGCCCACGGCACAAGCCGTTAAACACGTAAGGGTACGAAGCATCAATCTCATAGGTAAATGCATGCAGCATCAGAGCTGATAAAATGGTCCAATATTGCAGTTCAGCCGATACCGTCGTGTCCTGCCTGTACCTAGGATATGGAAACAGGTAGTATAGTTGGCCGTAATTTAAATTGAAAAGAAAAGGGTCAATGTCGTTGATATTCAAAGAAATAATACTCGGACGCAACAATGAATTCAGAATAAGTGTATTTGACGTCGTCCGGAACGCGCCGAGGCGATAAGCCGCATGCTTGTTTATGGGTCCTGGTCAGTGGTATCACTGGTATGCAAGGAGGGGCAGCTGTAGTCTGTCGGTGAGGGGTGAATGAACAGTCAGCATCTTTGGAAACTACTACCTACTACACGTGCATTCTTCCCTCATACAACTTTTGCAATTGTCGAATAAGTAGGTAAACTCGGTAGTATTGCTTCAACCTAGTACTACGACTGGCTGTATCGACGACCCGAATCAAAATAATGAGTGAGACGTATCTTATGTGGGTGGGTGGTGAGGAACGTCCTGGGAGGGGTGAATTGTGAGTCTTCATTCATCAATCCAGATTATATACATGATCACATCTCACTCTCATCTCTTCATACTAATTATGATTTTCATAGAATACCAGTAGAAGACCCTTCTACCGGGGAGATATTCGCCCAGTAAGTAAATATCCCCTTCTCTCATGAGTACAATTCGTATTCCTGACCAGATCATCTATCCAGCTGCCATGCCGCCTCAGAAGAAGACGTCGAGGAAACAATCGCCCAAGCACAACAAACCTTCAAATCAGGCATCTGGTCGCGCGCATCCCCACACCACCGCGCCGACGTCCTAGATAATTGCGCCACACTTCTCACTGACCAACTCCCCGAACTGATCGCCCTCGAAGTCCGACAAACCGGTCGGGCTATTCGCGAAAGTATGTTTTTCTTCCCCTTTCCTCACTCCCATTCCCCCCCTCCCCCCCTCTCTTCTTTTGCTACTAACACAACTTGAAACCAAAAAAAAAAGTGAAAGCCCAAGTCCCCTCCCTAATCCGATGGTTCAAATACTACGCCTCCCTCCTCCGAATCTCCCCCCGTCCATTACTCCCCACGACGGGGAAACTCCACAACTTCGTCGACCGCGTCCCCTTAGGCGTCGTCGTACAGATAACACCCTTCAACCACCCTCTCCTCATCGCCGTGAAGAAACTCGCCCCCGCTTTAGCAGCTGGGAATTCTGTAATCATCAAACCGAGCGAGTTGACCCCTCTCACGACTATCAAACTGGGTGCTATTCTGAAACAAGCGGGTGTGCCGGATGGGGTCGTTGGTGTTTTACCTGGATACGGGAATATCACGGGAAGGGCACTCGTGCAACATCCACTCGTAAGAAAAGTCGATGTCACGGGTGGGACGGCGGCGGGGCGCGCGATAGGCGGGATTGTGGGGGGGAATTTGGCCAGGTATACGGCGGAATTGGGCGGGAAGGCTCCGCTCGTCGTGTTCAAGGGGGCGGATCTGAGACTTGCCGTTAACGGGGTTGCGTTTGGGAGTTTTATTGCTAGTGGGCAGACGTGTATTGCCAGTACGAGGATTATTGTGGAAAACAAGGTGTTGGATGAGGTGTTGGGGTTGTTGAAGAGAAAGACGGAGTTTATTGCTGGGCGGATGGGGAAGCCGATGAATGGGGATTGTTTGATGGGGCCGCTTGTTTCGGAGAGACAGTTGAGGCACGTGCAGGGGCTTGTTGACGATGCGGTGGGGAGTGGGGAGGCGATGGTCCTGACGGGGGGGAAGAGGATGGCGGGTGTGAGTACGCTTGATGGGGACGGGACGGATTTCGAAAAGGGGTATTTCTTCGAACCTACCATCCTCGTCAACAATCATGCGCGAAATGGGGATATACGCAAGACGAGGCTGTGGCGGGAGGAGGCTTTCGGGCCGGTTATTGTTGTCGTGGGGTTCGATACCGAGGACGAAGCTGTCGAGTTGGCGAATGATAGTGAGTTTGGACTTGGGGCTGGGATATGGACGCAGGATCTATCGCAGGCTTTCCGGGTCTCGGAGAGGATTGATGCGGGTATTACTTGGGTGAATACTCATCATCGGAACGATCCCAGTAGTCCGTGGGGAGGTACCAAGTCGTCGAGTGGGCTTGGGACGGAAAATGGTGTCGAGGCTTACGAGGCCTACACGACGGCCAAGAGTACGATTATTAATTACGCGTCGACGGAAGAGGCGCTGGTTACCAATGACTGGTTTAGGGAGACGGCGGGGGATGTTAGATATGGATGAAGATTTGAAGTGAATGATGAATGGATTAGCTAATTAAGTTAGTTTTAAATATATTTCATGTCGCAAGTCTTTTTTTTTTCTTTTCCATTTAGGTTGCCAGCCCCTTTTCTTCACGTTATCTCTGGAGTTTGATGGGGTTCTTCGTTCTTCTTCTTCAAAGCCCATCCACATCTACACAACCAGAACATGACCATCGGCGGCGTGAACAACAGTCCAAGTATGGCCCCCTGAACCAGCTTGAAAATCTCTGGTGCCCATGTAGCCGAGTAATACCAATCCCAGTCATCATCCGCACGATGTTTCCCGACCAAGACGAGAAAGCCGACGCTAGCGCCCCATAACACGGGGAAGAATGCGGCGGCCAAGATGAGCGAACGGATGGCCTGCGACAAGAGGAATTCCAGCCAATGCTTGATGCTCCTGACATCGCACGATTGCCTCGGCCGGTCGAGGAACATGAACCAGCGCAGGACCTTCCGTCTCGGCTCCGGGATGAACCCTATCGGCGCCACTGCTCCCTTCTTCAGGTCCAGGTTGACGAGGACGGACTCTATGATCCAGGTTATGAGGAACTGGATGAAGATCGTCACGGCCGTGTCTCCGGCCAACGTGTTGGGGAACTGGAATAGACGGATCGGACTGTCTTCTCCTCCTCTCCCGTGATATAGTGCTAAGTTGGGGCTTTGGTTTTAGCGGGTTTTATTTTATTTTACCTATTTTAATGTGGGGGAGGGGTGAGGTGAGTTTACACACCGTATGCTATGGCAAAGTTAATCCCGCCCGAGAGAATAGCTGCGCCTATACCGTCGAGGATGAAAATATAAAATATTTGATGAGCTGTGAATTTACTCGTTGGCTGTCGGAAACCTGACACCTCATCGTCGCCGCCTTGTTGTTGTTCTTGTTGTTTTTCCAAAGGTAGTGGGTCGGGGTTAGTGCTGTCATTCGCGCTGGATCGGCTCGCGGCCTCTAGGTCTGGGGTTGGTTCGGGTGCGACTTCTTCCGGGGTTTGATTTTGGAAGACTGGGTTGATGGCCCAAGGCATGATATGATGAGAAGGTATTAATATTAATATTACGATTCTTCCTCTTTTCTCATATGAAAGAGGTGTAGTGTAATTTGAGGGGTTGTGTGTGAGTGAGTGAGTAGAGGCTAAGACATCATATTCTTGGTCTGTAAAAACGGTGGAAAGATGAGGAAAGTGCAGTCGTGATTATCGGATACGTCGGGGCAGGACGGGAACTCTAGGTTAGGTGTGTTTTGTCACATGAATAAAGAAACAGTAAGACATGAAATGGCAAAACGCCTAGATCCTTTTAGTTCAAGCCCTGCCTTCCGGAAAGTAGTCTGTCTGTCGGTTTCTTTTGTAAGTCGCGTGCTTCTTATTAGGTAAGTTTGTCTCGGTTTTGCTTGGAGATATGTCATTGGGATCGAAACCGAGACGATAACAAACAGATACATCAACAAAAAGGAAAAACCAACATGGAGACGTCCTCAAACACTATATCAATTTACTTTTCCTTTTGATAGTTTGAGCCGGACCTCCCGTCTCTCCCGCCACGGGGGAGGAGGTTAAACCCGAAACGGACGAGGTACTTGCAATTTGAATTCGACCCAAATTCTGTTTCCTCATTGCCCAAACGACCATTTGCTACGAATGGAACAGTGTTAACTAGATATAGGTAGTCAAGTGGGTTGGGTTTCTTAGGCGGGTCTCAGATTTGTCGTGACCTAACGTGCCTACCGTTTTCTTTCATTTCCTTTGATTATTGCCGAGAAGGGAGCTGCCAATGTATATCCTAACCTACCTACCTGTAGGTATGTAGGTATATGGGCTTAGGTCCTTGTCCATGGATCTCCGGATTCTTCAATATGCCTTTCTTCCTGTTCTCGTGAGAAAGATTCTCTGAGCAGCGTCTTTCTGGCGGAGATGGAAACGAACGTACCTGTAAATTAAAGTTAGGACTAGTTAATCTAGGTTAGGTTAGTGGGGTTGATTTGCT